GCTGATGCTGGTTGTTAATGAGCCTCAATTTGCATTTCAATGGCCACTGAGTGGGGTTGAATCTCCAAGGGAGGGGCCACCACCTCTCTCAAAGCCCTGGGAAGGAGTAAGATGACAACTGTCCTGTGTGGCCGCAACTCAGCAAAAGCTCTGAGTGCCCTCCAATTCCTGAGTGTCCTCACGCAGTTCCAGTCCAGTCTGCCCACCTCTGCCGGAGCCCAGGGTTTTAGTGGCTGTGGCTATTTTAGCATCTGTCCCAGCTCTGGGCTGTGGAACCGCTTTAACTGGAGGGCGCTGCTCACAGCTAAGGCCACTGCTGTCCATGGGCTTCCAACCCCCTCTCGTGCCTCCGCAATCCTACCAGGTTTGAATCAGTGTCCCTGGTTATATGATCCTTGCAAGCTGCTTTTCGGTTGCTTTTTCCTGATGATTTGTCTTTATTTTTGTTGTAATTCCAGTTTGGTCCTGGGAGATGGTCTGTGTAGCTTCCATTCACTCTGCCGCCATTTTGGAATCTCTCTAGACTGTTAATTCTATTTCATTTTCTATTCATCTATCCTCATGCCAGTAGCAGTAACTGTAGCTTTATAGTAAGTTTTGAAATCAAGGAATGTGAGTCCTCTTTTACAAGATAGTTTTAGCTATTCTGGATCCCATTCATTTCCATGTGAATTTTAGGATCAGCTTGTCAAAGTTAGAATTTTTATAGGGACTGCATTAAATCTGTAGACCGTTTTGGGGGAGTGTTGCCATCTTCATAATATTAAATGTACCAGTCTATGAGCATGGGATGCCTTTCCATTTATTTAGGTTTCTAAAAAATTTACTTTCAACAATATTTTGTACAAGTGTACATGTCTTGTACTTCTTTAATTAAACATATTCCTAGGTATTTTATTCTCTGGGTGTTATTTTAAATAGACTTCATTTGTTAATTTTCATATTGTTCATTGCAAGTATATAGAAATACAACATCTATATCTATATCTATATCTATATCTATAACTATAATCCTCACCTGAGGATATGTTTTTATTGATTTTAGAGAGACAGGAGAAACAGAGAGGGAGGGGGAGAGAGAGAGAGAGAGAGAGAGAGAGAGAGAGAGAGAGAGAAACGCTGATGTGAAAGAGAAACATCAATCATTGCCTCCAGTATGCACCTGAACTTGGGATCGAACTTGTAACCTGAGTATGCAACCTGACTGGGAATCAAACCCATGACCTTTTGATATATGGATGACACTCCAACCAACTGATCCACATTGTCTAGGTCTACTACTGGTTTTTATATGTTGATATCATATTCCCGCAACCTTGCTGAACTGGTTTATTGGCTCAAATAACTTTTTTGTGTATTTTAAGCAGACATTCTTATTTTGTTCCTGATCTTAGGGGAAATGCTTTCAGTCTTTCATCATTAAATATGATATTAGCTATTAATTTTTTTTTTATAGTTGCTCTTTATTGGGTTGAAGAATTCCCCTTTAATTCTTAGATCATTGAGTACTTTTATCATGAAAGGGTATTGCATTTTCTCAGATGATTTTTCTGCATCTATTGAGATGATCATGTGGATTTTCCCCTTTATTTTATTAATATACTGTATTACATTGATTAATTTCAACTTGTTAAACCAACTTTTCATTCCTGTAATAAATCCCACTTGCTTGTGGCATATAATCATTTTACCATTTTTTATTTTTTAATTAATCAATTTTTGTTACAAATGTTTCTCCTTTTTCCTTCATTGACACCTTTCTCCCACTCCCCACCACAGCATTGTTGTCTGTGTACATTGGTTATGTATATAAGTTCTTCTTACTATTATTTCTTGAGAGTACAAATTTTACTTTCATTGCATTGTGTCACCCAAAGCAATCAAACAGTAGTACAATTGGATCAAGAATTTGTGCCCAAGACATGCAATCATCATTATTATTACCATTATTGTCAACATTAATATGAGCACAAAGTAATGGTAGTCTGAACTAAAATTACAGGTCCAAATGAGAAATCTTATTTTAAGGAGTAAGATAAAATGTAGAAACTATTGGCCACAGGGGATTATTAAATTTCTTAATGTTGTTAAATAATTCCTCCATTCCTGGGATACGCCTTGCTTGGTCAAAATCCTCTACTCTAAAAAAATTTTTTTTTTAAGTTTTATTAAAATAAAGTATAGCCACAGGAAAAATAGTATTTATCGTAAGTGTCCAGCCTAAACAAACAAAACAAATTCATAGACACAGACAACAGAAGAGTGGTTACCAGAGGGAAAGGTGGGTAGGGGAAAATGAAGAGTATAAAGGGGGTCAAATATATGGTGATGGAGGGAGACTAGACTTTAAGTGATGAGCACACAATGTAATATACAGAATATGTATTTATAGAATTGTACACTTGAAACAGAATGTTATTAACCAATGTCACTCCAATAAACTTAATTTAAAAAATCTAGCTTAAGGAATTCTCAAAACAAAACATCTGTTTAACCAATACACAGATCAAGAAACAGAACATTATCAGCAACCCATAAGGCCCCCCTCATGCCCCATCTCAGTTGCTACCTCCCACTACCCAATAAGGATAATCACTATCCTTAACTTCTAACACCACTGATTCTTTACAAAGATTTTTTTTCTATTAAATGCAATGGAGAGAATTATATATATATTTTAATGAATACTTCAATTTTCCATGAAGCTTAAATGTTATAATTTTTCTCATTCCAGAAACATGTAATTTCTTAAGTAAAATTATTAGCATATATGTCATGCTTTATTTTGGAATTGTCTATAGCTTTGCTGACCAATACAATAGCCACTAGCCATACTATAAGGATATCGAACACTTAAAATATGCTGCAAGTGTAAAATATACAATAGACTTTGATGACTCAGTACAAAACCAGGAAATGTATACTGTCTCAGTAATAATTTTTAAATAGCCATTATAGGTTGTAATGATAGTATTTTGGATATATTAGATTAAATAAACCATATTATTAAAATAAATTTCATATGTTTCTTTTTTGATGTGGCTACTAGAAAATTTTAAGTTACAGATGTGGATCACAATTATATTTCTATTGGACTATGATGGTCTACACTATGCAATTAAATAGATGGATAAAGATTGTCTTAATATTTTATATGTACATTACTCAAAGTTCTTTTTAACAAAAATCATGTAGTAAGCTACTTTGTACCCTCTAGAACTGTCACATGCCTGAAAGTTAATGAATGCTTCTTAGCTGTTTGACAAACTTTATTTTTTGCTTTTTAGGTTAAAATTCCACATTGCTTAGCTACATGATGATAATATTCCTAAATGATCAAGAAAAGATAGCAAAAATATGTATGGAAACTGAAAGTAGAAATTGGGTATGAAAAATATTAGTTGTCAAATTTATAAAATTTCTTTCATCAAAAACAACTTTCCTGAATTGTAATTCCTTATAGATTAACATGACATTTATGTTATGTTTAGTGCAGCATGTGTCTAAACAAAGTATGTTTAAAGAATGAATCCATTTTTACATTAACAAGGACTTTTTCTTGTTTAGGTACTCTACTTTTTTTTTGCTTGCTGGCAGAATACTGTGAAACACTAATTACTTAGTCATAACAGAAGTGTCACACTACAGATTAATTATTCATTTCAGTGTATTATGTAGATTTTTAAAGATATAAAGTATAGCTTCTCAGATTTCATTCAGTGAGAAAAAAAATAGGCCTCAAAGGATCCTGGAGTCACCTTAAACTTTATATGACATGAGAAACCTAGATGAAATCAATCAGACCTTTGTTGAAGAGGAATCTTTTGGTCCTGGGGAACAGAGACTCATTCAGAGTCGCCCCAGAGTGATAGGTGTTTACTGTGAAAGGGTAACTAGAACGGCAATTTGGGAAGTGGATGGATCCTGTGAACTACCCTATTCCCCTAGCGAATTGGATACTCATATGTCCCTAGGGAGCTGGTCTTTTTTGTTCTAATTCCATTATTGGGTCTCAGCTTCCCTTTCAGTCAGCTTCTACCTTCTGCCCCACCCACCCACGCCTACTTCATCCTGCAATTTCTGCTCACTCAAATGTTTTGCTTTCTGGAAGCCCATTTTCACTACTCCTGCCTCAGCCTTCTCTCAGCTGCAGCCTTCCTACCCGATGGCTCCTTCTCAGTATTCTCCCCTTTCAATTTCCAAGGGAGAATCTGACTGGCTTACTGAATCACCAGGGTCACTATTCGGGGAGAACTGTTTGTTTCAGGTCACCTCCGAAGTTTATGGACTGTGTACTCTTGGGTCACATGATTACAATCCAATCAAGTGTTTGGAGGGGGTTGCTTCCTGGGTAGTTGTGCAACCTCTGCCCTAGGAATGGTTTGGGTCACTTCTCTCAGCAGAGCCTCGGTTTCCTTTCCAAAGGGACTCCAGGTACAGCAGGCATATCACACACACACACACACACACACACACACACGCGCGAAAACAACAGTGATGCAAATGTAGGAAATAGAACGAAGAAGAGAAGAAATCTCTATTGACCCAGAAGCAAGAACTAGCTCTGTCCATGTGAAACTCCTTTGCAGTAGAACACATTCGTTTTCAAGATGAGTTTTGTTTTGCAAATCGGGCCATTCTGCTGTCCTGTAGATTTCTGGTGGCCCCTGCCCCTGGCATACAGAACCAAAGTCACATTCCTCCTCGATCTCACTATTCAGCACGTTGGGGGCGCTTCACTTCCTCTGTTAGGAAAGACCTTGGCAGGAAATCACGCCAAAGATCAGATGCGCGGTGGCGGGGGAGCACTGGCTCTGGGCAGCGCGGAGGAAAGGTGGCAGTAATCGAAGGTCTGGGTCCGTTTTCCACCGTCTGGAATCTGTCCCTTTATCGGGCGTCTCCTCTTCCGAGTTTCTCCCTCATAGGCTTGTTAGTGGGAGCGTGGGCGGCCCACTTCCTGAGCGCAGAAACTCTTACCGCCTCCCCACACCCCTCCTCCTGCACACCAGCCTTCCTGCGCCTCAGCCACTTCCTACCCCAGCCTCTTCCTCCTAAGCGCTGAATAAGCTACACTCCCGGGGCTGACACTGCACCAGTTTTTCATCGCAAAAGAAAAGGAGGCAGAGAGGTGAGTCCCCTGGGAAGATGTGGCCAGGGATAAGGGGTGGACCGGGTCACTCGTGGAGGCCCAGCAGCAGGAGGAATCGTGGGCCGCGGGTGGAGAGCTGGGTCTCGAGGGGGCTAAGGCGCGGGGATGTCACAGCTGAATTGGGCCGGGACTGTGCAGGGGGCGGGATGGACGCACCCCACGCCCCCCCCCCTCCGCAGACTTCCGCACTCGGCTCACGTGACGCTGAGCAGGGCTCTGCCCGGGAATCCCGCGTGGGGTTTGCCGCGGTGCAGCGCGCCCGCTTTGCACTTGGCGGTCCGGAGCCAGCTCTGCAGGGCGGGGAGGGGACGGGAAGAGCTGCGGGTGCGGGCGAGTCACCCACCAGGAATCTGAAGGCCTCCTGGCAGCGAGTTTTGTGGCGTGGGCGGTGGGTGCGGCTCCGTGCTCTCCCGTTGTACTCTGTACTCGGGGTGAGGGGTAGTGAGGAAACACTGGGGTTTTGTGGAGCCCGGAGCAGGGTCCCTATCCCTTGACCGGGTTGGCCGCTGGGTCTGGCGGGCGCTGGGGCGCACCGGGCGCGGGGAGCGCGGAGACAAAGGCTTCCGGGCCCGGCCCTTCCCGGGGATGCCGACGCGGAGCCCGCCGAGCTGCCCCGGAGCGGGGGGCCGAGCCCGATGCTCCCCAACTGCGTACCAGTGTGGGGGGTGATCGGAGGAAGGCCTTCAGGGGACAGGGTCTTGGGACCCCTTCCGGGCCAGCTCCCCAACTTGGAGCGGGGATGACCAAATAAGGAGCGTGCGCGCCCGCGAGCAGGCAAGTAGGAACCCCGTCATCCTTTGACCCGCACCAGCTGCTAGTCTCCGATTGCTTAGGAGGGTTGCAAAAGTGGCCAGCCCTGGTACATAGAGTTGGCTCCCAATTCCCAGACGCCCTACTCCAGTAGGCTGTAATCCTTGAAAATGTCCATGTAGTGACTTCAAACTTAAAAAAACAAAACCAAAAAAAAAAAATAAAAAAATAAAAAAAAATTATAAAAGGGTCCTTAAATAGATGTGTATTAATGATGGAGCATTTCATCATATGCCCAATCCTCTGACATCCGCTTTCTTTGTGATTCCCACTCACAGTGCCTAATTACATTCTGTCACAATTAGAAGGCCCGCCAAGCATCTGCCACCGCCTTCCCTTGATCACTACACTCCCCCCCCCCCCCCACCCCCAACTTGCCCGCTTCTGGCCTCTCATTGTTTTTGATTTTGCTGCTTACTCTAGTTTCAGGCCTGACAAATGCCATGGGCCTTCCAAGGGTTGTATAACAATGAGTATTTCTCCCCCTTTGTCCCTGCTAAATAATAAAATAAATAAATCATGCCAAATTATGTATGCTAGCAATAGTTCCTAAGCCTGCTATTTTCCTACTTGGAGGGGTCTGGGCAGGGAGCCCTTCTTGCTTGGTAAGTATTTTGCCCTAGTAAGTACTCAGTCTGTAATATTTCATACAAATGCAACTCTATTATATTTACTGCATTTTGCGTAATGACTAGCAAGGAAAAAGAAGAACAAAAAGGAGGGGGAGATGGAGGAGGAAGAGGATGTGGTAGAAACAGCATTTAATTGTGGGAGCCTCCTTTGAGCCAGTTTCATCATTCATAAAATGAGGATAAATAATAAATACTTTGCAAGGCTCTTAGGATTACATGAATTAACATAGATAAGGAGCCTCTTATGTAATTAATTATAAAGAAATGCTGGTTGCATTTCCTTCCCTTCTTAAAATTGGATGAGCATACATTTGTTTAATACAATGCAGGTACTCACACTATACATAATAGTGGGGTTTCCATTTTGAGTCTCATTATCAAAGGAGAGCTATGTCTGCAGTGTGTGGCCAGTGGTAGGTGGAAGGAGTGGAGAATGGTGTTAGAGAAATTTTCAGAGTGGGAGGAAATCATAGAATCTGAGAATTAGGACCGTAATCCCCTTGGACATTCTCCTTTCTGACCAACGTGGGCTAATTTCTTCAACAACCCTCACAGATCCATACTACTTCTGCATTAATGTTTTTGAGAATAGGGTATCAACTTTATTCATTGTTAGGCAGTTTTGATGGTTAGAGAAAATTTTTTATATATGGCTCCATCCCATCAAATAGAGCACCACAAAACAAAACTTCATATAAGTACCTAAAAGGAGCTTTCATTTAAAAAGAAAATAGTGGTAGGTCATCTCTAGGCTAACTTTTTGGGTCAAGAGTCTTTAGAGTGTAAGTGACGGAAAGTCATTCAGACAACACAAGCAAAACCAGGAAAGTTGGTTCATGTAACTGGAAAGTCCAGGGTCATGTACCGGCTCAATCATTGTTATGTGATTGGACTTTTCTTTGTGCCAGCTTTATCTCTGGCAGTCTTTCCACATGGTAGCTCTTTACTTCAGAGGCGGTTTACATTTTAGAACCCAGTGGGACAGTGTTGTTTTACTACTGGTTCTGGCAAAATCTCTGGGCTGAATCTTATTGTTCAGGATAAGATCATCTACCTATGCCTAAATCAGTTATTCTGGCTCTGAACCATTCCTGGAGTGTAGGATGAGGCTCTATCCAAGATACATGGGTTTATAGTTAGGAAAGACTTGATCCAAACAAAAATTAGACTAATGGTTTCAAAATGGGGAATAGGTACTGGGTAGGTAAAAATAGCAGCTGTTCACCATACTGACATTTACAGGTATTTTTTTTTCTTCTAACATTCTCATGGTGTGTCTTTCAGTTATGTCCTCTGAGTGTATTTTAGCTAACGAGTATCTCTCTTAAACTATATCTTGAGTTGAGTATAATGCTATAGATAAAATTCACCAACACAAAGTTCCTAGTATTTAGATGCTATAATTTTTGATAGAGTTATATGTAGATGCATTGACCTAAGATGTTGTATTTTATTGCAAATACAAGCTTCTTAAATTATAATATTCACACATATAATGTAGCAGATGGCAGTTGTGCTTTTAATTATTAGCTGATGGAAAATCTGGGGTCCCAATCAGTATAGTCTAAACATAGATGTCATTCTTGTTTTTAAAAGCTTCCAGGAATTGGTTACAATCTGTCTGGACAAAGTTGTTTTTTCCAAATTGTCACCCCGAAGTAAACCATTCACACACCCCATTTTTTAAGTCCCTTATTTGATTTGGAGGATTTAGGATTGGGAACAGACTGATGAATGATGCATACTTTCTGACCCTCCTGTTGTCCTTTTCACTGTAAATTACTGCCTTCTTATGGAAACTCTTCTTTTGTTTCTTTGACTCAACTCGATCAGGGCTCTTTCTTCCACCTCTATCTGCTTTCCCTTCTTCTTGCTGACTTTTCTCTCCTGTCACTTCCATAGCTGTTTACCAGGCCCCTTTACCTCCTTCCCCTTTCTGTCTTTGAGTGCTCTTTCTCAGAGAGCTCCTGTCTCTTCCCCACTTAAATCAGCAGCTTTATGGCAACCATTCCCACAGGTATAGTTCCATCCCCTCTCATGCCTTTGCTCCTTCTATCAGTCCATGAAACCAGTATTTATTGAACCTATGCTCTTGGTGCCAGACAATCCAGCAGACAGCAGTGTTACAGTTAGATCCCTGCCTAGAGGAGCTCACCACCTCGTGAAAGCTGAGAAACTGGTCATTTCAATCAAATGAAATGAAGAGGGTGGACAGTGCTTTGGGGACACTCAGCAGGGGAACTCTCCTACTCCAGGCTCCATGGAAGGCTTTGGAGGAAGTTATATCTGAGCTGGACTGAATGTGTGGGAGTTAGCCCCAAGAAAGAGGAATAGTCATAATCTGGGTTGAAGAAACAGTATGTGGGAAGGTTGGAGGTGAGAGATGAAGGGCTATTTAAGGAACAAAAAGAAGCCCCATGTAGCTACAGCCTAGAGTTCTAGAGGGTTGAGTAGAGGAGGCTGGAATGGTGGGCATAACCCAGTCTACGGATGAGCTAGTGAGCCGAGTTTAACAGCTCCCATTATCTGAAGATGAGAGGTCTTCACCACTACTCTATTGTAGTCAGGTTTACTGGACACTGTCCAGGGAAGGACATGTCCCTGTGTGTCACCCAGAAGTCATTGCACTGACTCGATACTATTAAAATTGCCTTGTGTCAATCTGCCTTCCCTTCTAGAATGCAGGCTCCAGGGGGGAGGGAGTGTGTACCTTTATATCGGTACCTCCAACTCCTAACTTAGGGCCTGCCTTTTACCTTTTGCTTCTGTGCTATTGCACAGGCTTTTCCCCATGCATAGAACACCCTTTCCCAACTGTCCACCTGGCCCAGTCCTCCCCAGTGACCTCCGGGAAGCCTTCTGTGGCTTCCTCCTTTGTGCTTCCTTTGGACCCATCACTCGGAGTACAGACACATTGCTATGCATTCCAGGCCTTTCTTTGCCTCTGGACGGTGAGTTGCCCTGAGGGCAGGTCCTGTGTCACCCACCTTTGTATTTTTGATGGCCTGCAGCATGCCATGAAGAGGATGGGCTTAGAGTTAAGAGTGGGCGCAACGAAAATTGCTGCATTCTTCCCAATAGACTGCGTAGAAGAAGAGTGGGGTTGGCCCAGAGGGGAAGTTACACAGATGGAGGAAATGGAGGTAGTAGTGCCATGTATAACACACAAGTATTTTTAGGAAGAGGAGCATGGTAAAGTAACAGCGACAAATGCAACATAAAAGAAAGGGCCCTTGGATTTGGCAAGATGTGCTTAATGGCATGTAGAAATGGCAAATATAGACATATTATTTTTTCTCCCTCAGGCAGCAATGGATGTGGATCATGAAGTTAGCCTCTTAGTGGAGGAAATTCATCGTTTGGGTTCAAGAAGTAAGTATTATTGCCCAGATACAGTATTTCTATTGAGTTTGAGTTTGCTTCAGAGCAAGTAGGACCAGCCCTTTTGGTAGAAGCCTGGGAAGGGGTCACCAGGCCTCAGGACACAGTTACAACAGCTCTGCCCTCAGTCCCAAGGACAAGTACCCTCAGCCACGAAGTAATATCTGGAGACACAAAACTATTGGGGTATTGGGATTCTGATGCAAATAATGGGCGACATATTTCATTATCCTTGGACTGGAACAAAAGTTGCTGTGCCTCTTTAATCTGGTTGCATTGAAATCTGGTAATTGAATCATGTTCAAATTTTCATTTTTCACATTATTAAAATTTATTTTCTGCTTTATCCTGCTAGCATTTTACAAACTTCCAAATGATTAGAGAAGAAATTTGAAATTATTAAATTGTCTTTATTTTCTCCAAATTCTTGAGTCTTATATAATCAGGTATTTCTGTACATTCATATGACTAAACCATCCTTTAGGTATTTTTTTTTCTTCAGTAGCATATAGGAAGCTACCATGACATTAGTGACATGTAAAGTTGTTAGTATTAGTATTCTCCTAAGGTGAAATGAAAATAACTGTTGTGCTTGTAGCTTTGGGTTTTGTACATCTCAGGTAAGACATGCAAGATTTGGGGAACATTTTGAAAATGTAAGAGCAATAGACATATTCAGCAACAACTAGGATAATGGAACTAAAAGTTATAAAATCACATTATGACAGCTTTAAATCACCTCATAAGAATTGTTTTGTCATTATAGCTTAATTCTCCTTACAGCTCTGTCTGCTTATGAATCACAGGTCTTTTGAAATAACAAGAGATACTTTGAAAATTCCATTAAGCCATTCATATCAAATGTCCCCTGTATTAGTTTTCTATTGCTGTTGTAACATTACCACAAACTTAGTGATGTAAAACAACCCATTGACTATCTTAATAGTAACGTAGGATAGGAGTCTGTCTTAGTTTATTGGTGCTGCCATAACAAAACACCACAGACTGGCTTATAAAAAACAGAAATTCATTGCTCATGGTTCTGGAGTCTGGAGGTCCAAGATCAGGGTGCTAACATGGTCGTCTTAAATCCTTCCAGGTCGTTTCTTCTTTTATCCTCACATGGGGAACAGGACTGGGATCTCTTTGCAGCCTCTTTCATAAGGCATTAATCCTTATGATTTATGACTTTAAATCCTTACACTATCATGACTTTAGCATCTCCCAAAGGGACCCCCCTGCTAATATCATACCTTTAGCAATAGCAACTTTTAAAAAAAATATGTTTTTATGAATTATTTAGAGAGAGAAGAAGGGAGAGAGAGAGAGAGAGAGAAACATCAGTGTGAGAGAAAAACATCAATCGGCTGCCTCCTACATGCCCCCTACTGGGGATTGAGCCTACAACCTGGGCATGTGCCCTGACTGGGAGTTGAACCAGGACCTCACAGTCCATAGGATGACGCTCAGTCTACTAAGCCGCACTGGCCAGGTAGCAATAGGAATTTAACATAAGAATTTTGGAGGAGGGCAGGTACGAACATTCAAACCATAGCAGAGTCATATAAGGATGTCCCTGAGCTAAAATCAAGGTGTTGGCAGGGTGCATTCCTTCTGAAGGCTCTAGAGAACCTGTTTTGTAGTCTTTTTCTAGCTTCTAGAAGCAGCCTGCTTTCTTGGTTCATGGCCCCATTTCTCCATCGTTAAAGCTGGCAACAGCTGGTTGAGTCCTCACATCACACACTCTGATTTTGTCTTCTGCATCCCTCTTCCATTTTTCTTTTTTAATCCTCACTAAGGAAATGTTTTTTAGAGAGAGAAAGTGAAAGAGAGGAACATCGATATGAGAGAGAAGCATTGACTGGTTGCCTCCAGTGGGTCGAACCTGCCATCTTCTGGTGTACCAGATGACACTCTCACCAGCTGAACCACACTGGCCAGGCTTCCTTTTCCATTTTGTAAGGATACTTGGGATTACACTGGTCTCACCCAGATAGTCCAGGATAATCTCCCCATTTCAGGGTCCTTAATTTAATCACATCTACACATTTTCCTTTGCCATATAAGGTAACATATTCATGGGTTCTGGGGATTAGCACATGAATATCTTTGGGGACCATTATTCTTTCGGTCACCTCCCCTTTTTGGTCTTCTCTAGTCACTTTATTTCCTCATCAAACCTGAGTCATCATCACTGAGATATGCCAAGAGAAAATAAACCAGGGATATAAAAAGTTGGTATGGATTCAACAACTGAGTTTAGTCGTACGGTCAGTTACTCTTTGTTGGGAATCTGTATATACAAGCACTGTGTTAGTACAAGCGGCACTGAGTATATTCCTCCCCTCAAGGATCTTACTACTTAATTGAGGAAAATAGATAGAAAAACCTCATGAGTTAATTATCAGAAAAAATGTTATGCTAAACTGTGAAATGCTGACATCTAATTCAGGATGGTCCCAGAGAACAAGGTCATTGAAGACCATAGTAGTGGGGGCACCCAGTGAATCCTTGACTGTGAGGTAGGACTTTGGAGTGGAGGGTGGGTCAGATCAGGGGCAATGCATGAGCTGCATTTGTTTATGGAGAACACCAAGGGGACAGTGGAGGATACCCTTTACTTAGTTCCTCAATCAAACCAATGAACAATCTTTCCTGACCCCATTTTTCTCCCACCCACTTCATCACACCAACTTGGTGAAAGTTTGGTGAGTCTTGTTTACAACAGTGATGCCTCTACCTGTGATCCTCCTCTCTACATTCCCAATTTGCTCTGTGTTACTCCTGAGAGTAGAACTGTTGTTTGGTTTGTTAAAGGTCTTATAGATGGATTTCCAAAGATTTGGAGCATTCTTTTTTCTCTTAGATCTTTCTCTATGTCAACTTAGTGTTTATTGGTCAGATTCATTTAAAAGTCTAATCTCTATCACTTCTCGCCTTTTGCCTAAGATCAAGTGTAAAAGTCTAACCTCTACCTCCCTAGCACAGTGTTACTGTTCTACAAGGGTAAAGTGAACCCACACTTCAAAATTAGCCGCTTTACAACCTAGAAGACAGCAAGGTGATTATCATAACTTCTATAGGATGAAAATACTTCGAACGTTGCAGTTTCCCTGGGTCTTCTTGACTTACCTGTTTCTGGTAATGGTTGACTTATGAGTTGGAAAGCATCTGTGGAGATATGTTATCTACTGACATGGCAAATTATTTAAGTTGTGTGGAATAGTTTCGATGAATCTAAATTATGATATTTAGGTTGGCCTAAATATGATATATTAGCTAAAGCCCGAAGTTGATGACTTTAGTTTTATCTGTTTCTTTTAAAATTAATTTTTTTTTTCTCATTTTCCATGCAGTAGAAAAACAGTAAGTGGATCAAGGTTATTTGGAGATTTAAATTCTTTCATTCAACAAACATTTCTTGAGTGCTCCTTTTGTGCTTAAGTGCTGGAGCTGTGAAAATAAACAAAATCCCGTCCCAGCTGGTGGGTCTCCTTAGGCAGCAGGAAGGAAGACAGCACACTGGAAGCATGTATTGGGAAGCGGTGGAGAGCATGCTTTCTGGAGTCAGACTCTGGGAATTAATCCAGCTCCTAAACGAGCTTGCTGTGTGACCTCGGGTACATTACTAAACTTTTCTGTGCCTTACTTTCCCTATTTGTGTAGCAATAATACTCTATTTTGATGCTTCAAAGATGCTTTTCCCCCACACTTTGAAATCTCTAAAATAAGGATATACTGTATCTTCTAATACAAGGTGTGCTATAGTTAAATTGGCAGTTCAGTTGGAACATAAAATAATGGTCCTTCTTGAAATCCATTGTATCTTTGATGAAATGAGGAGTAAGTCTTAATGACTGTAAAATGCATTGAGCAGTTCTAGCAATGCATTAATATCAATAAATATTAACTATTATTACTATAATTGATGGTGAGTGCTTTGATAACGGTACCTTTAATTTTATAAGAAGAGCTATTAACACAGCTGAGGGAGTCACGGAGAAATTTTCAGACAAGGTGACATCGGAGTCCGTTCTTAAAGAAAAAGAATTAGCTAGGGAAAGTTGTCTGGACAGGTGGCTCAACATGGGTGAAATGACCACAGCAGGATTTTTCATGTCACCTTGGGTAACAGCAAGTTGTTACTTTAACTGGATCAAAGGGTGCATGGAATGATATGGCAGGAGACCAGGCAAGGGATAATGCAAGGGCCCGCAAATGAGGGGTTGTATCCGTGAGGCCACAGACTTAATTTTGAGGGTGATGAGGGCCATTGCAAGATTCAAGTAGAAGACTATCAATAAGTGAGCATCTTACAAAGTTTTTCCCCACATTTTTTATTCTGGACCAATGTGGAGGATGCACTGGGGGGTGGGAGGGGGGTCAAAATGGAAAAGGAAGGCTGGTAAGGAGTCTTGCAGGTATCCACATGAGAATCAGTTTGGGCCTGAACCAAGGAACTGCTGGTCCATGGAGAGAAGCCAGAGCGACAGACGATACAAGGAAAGTGGTGTCGCTTGTGAGACTGAGGGGTGAGGGGCAGGAGAACTCCAAGATTACACCCAGGTTACTGCCTTTTGTGCCTTTAAAATATTTAACCTGAATGTACCATATGCAAAGCACTCTATTAAAGGCTTTACCTATATACACCTTTTAGTCCTTGTATCAACCCTGGGAGGGGTATTTTTACCCTCGTTTTATGAATGAGGTAACTGCAGTGCAGAGAGCTTGAAGGGCCTGCCCAAGGTCACCCAGCAGCCCCACTTGTTTCTGGAATCAGGGAAGCAGAGTCATGCTGCTAGAAGTTGAAAGAGATCAAAGAAGTACATCTTTGCTTCCCAGGCCAAGCATGGTCGGATTCTCTGTTTTCCTTTATAAACTCATTTCTTTGTCTTTTCACCTTAGTTTACTTGAGGTGAGTCACTCTAGTTACTCTTCCCCTGGACACTTACTTGCTCCCCATGTAATTCTGGCTTGGGACTCTCCCCCATTTCTCTCACACTTAATGAAGCCAGTGATCACTGCTCAGCTGCTCAGTGGGTGTGGGCACTGTGTTGTGTTGGACGTGTGTTCCCCAACAGCACTGTGCAGGAGGAATAAAGATCCCAATTTTATAGGCAAGGAAACTGAGGCTTAGTGAGCTTAAGCAAGTTGCCCAAGGCCAAACAACTAGTAGGTGGCAGAGATTTCAACTGAGGACTATCGAGTTATGCTCCCCTTTAAAGTCCAGAACAGGTACCGCCTCCTTCATCATTCTAGCACATTCTGCCCTCCTCCACATTGTAATATACATCATCTTTGCTACCACTTGAATCCAGTCACATACTGCTTTTCGCTGTTGCTTTATTTGTCAGGTATATACTGCTCATTGCCTCGTGGGACTTGAAGCCATTTCTTTGGAAGCTAGAAAGAGATTCTATGCTTCCTGCTTTCTGACTCTAGCGCCCAGCACAGTGCCGCACTCCACTGGGCGATGACTCGGAGCTTCAGGTTGGAAGTCCCAGCGGGGGAGCACAGGAACTCAAGAACCTTTGGCTAAAGAATGGTCCCCTCTCACTGAGATGACCATCTTCTTGACAGTGGTACAGCTTTGAGAGGGAAGAATGTGGAACAGAGCTGTAGGAAGGGGTCAGGCTCAGCCAGGCAGATCAAAGGAATCAACCAACAGTGGTGACATGTCCCAGATTCCCCTTACCTCCGAGTTTTCTGTTGATAGTGTTTTTATTTCTCCCCAATGATCCTCCTTTTGTATACCTTAATTTTTTAAAAGAAAACTTTATTTTCTAAGAGCAGTTTGAGATTTACAATAAAATTGAGAAGAAAGTACAGAGATTCCCCAATTATCCCCAACACATGCATAGTCTCCCCCATTATCAACATCCCCGACCAGAGTGGTACATTTATTACAATCGATGAACCTACAGTGACATGTCAAACACAGTCCATGGTTTTCAGTAGGGGTTTAATCTTGGTGTTGTATATTCTGTGAGTTTGGACAAATATGTAACGACACGTATCCATTATCATTTTACCATACAGAATATTTGCACTGCTTTAAAAATCCTCTGTGTTCTGCCTGTTCATCTCTCCCCTGCCCTACCTATGAAAACCACTAATCATTTTACTTAGTTTTCTCTTTTTTCATAGTTTTGCCTTTTCCAGAATGTTCTATGGTTGGAATCCTTCAGCATGTAGCCTTTTCAGATTGCCTTCTTTCACTTTGTAATAGGTATTTAAGGCTCCTCCATGTCTTTTCATGGCTTGATAACTCATTTCTTTTTAGTGTTTACCTTATTTAATATATTTAACATCTGTGTTAAAAAACTGTTCTCTAATCTAGATAATCTAGAGATCTTGGTAAACACAGATTTCTTCATTTTTAATGTTATCACTCTGCCCTGGGGGTTCTGAATACATTTAGAACATACTTAGAGAAGCATTGCTCCTGATCTGGGGTTTTCTTGTATTTGTTATTTTTATTGGCTTAACAACTACTATAATTAAAAAATCAAAATGTAGACAGAGAAATTGTTCCAATAGTAGCACTGTAGCATATTCACCTTTTGTAAATGTTTCTTGGTTTTCTTCCAGTCTTTGTTCAGAGGATACTAAGACTAGGAGGTGTGCAACACATTGTATTTTATTTCATCACTTTTTGGATCTGGTGAGAGGTTACATTGCATTTATGACTTAAATTGTAATTTTGGTTAACCTATGGTTAGATGTTTATTAAAGATTATGTAACTCTTCCATACACAGGGGCAAGAAACAGACTTTGCATTGGCTAACATTGTATTTTCTCAAATTAGATGCTGATGGGAAGTTAAGTGTGAAATTTGGGGTCCTCTTCCAAGATGACAGATGTGCCAACCTCTTTGAAGCATTGGTGGGAACAATCAGAGCTGCAAAACGAAGAAAGATTATTACGTACTCAGGAGAACTACTTTTGCAAGGTGTCCATGATAATGTTGACATTATATTGCTGCAAGATTAATGTGGTTTACATATCATTGTTTATTGTTATTTTCTGGTAAACTGGAATATTTTCAAGTCAAAGGAAAAACATGAACATACTTAATGTATTTTTATAGAACTTTGTAAACAAAAGGAGACTCATTTTAGAAGTCCATCCTTTTCGTATCTTGAAAGAAAATTTATGTCTTACACTGTAAAATAAATAAAACTGATCATTTTTTCCCTCAGGAATCTGATTGAAAAATGTAGGCATTGAGGCTCTTTTGGTGGTTGTGCGAGAGTGTCCCATCAATCATTCTTAGATAATTTCTATAGGTAATTGACATTCTGTGAAAGCCAAAAGCAAACTGACGACCAGCTCCCACAGGGAATATTATAATGTTTATGTAATAAAAGCATGAAACTATCTTAAAAGTACTTTATTGTCTTATTTTGTCATTGAAGAGTTATGTGCCTCTCAGAATCAAGTTTTTGCATCAAAAGTAGGTAACTGCAGTGAAAGTTATCTTAGTTTGAAGAAAAATTAACTTAAAGCTACAGAATAGTTTAGAAATTAAAAAATAGGAATGGCTAGTGTTATGATTGGACTCTCTAAAAATAAATATTGATTTTGATGCCTATTGTGTGCTTATCATGGAGTTAGGGGACACACCAAAACAGGTAACCTAAAAACTTCACTCTGCTATTGGATGAGCTAGACCCACCTGACACAGTAGAGGGTTGTCTATAATTGCACGTTGCAGGCTGTGGTACAGGACTGAAAGTGGTAGAGAGACTCAGGGAGGTAAAATCAGTGGAAGCCATGACAGTTGGGAAAGGTATCACAGAGGAGGCAGAATTTGCACTGTCAGAGTTGGTTATCCAGAGAGAAAAAATGGGACTGGTGAGGGTGATGACCCAAGGTAAGATAGCAAGGCATAATCTGATGGAAGGTCAGATGTCAGGTGGACCAGAATACTAGGGAGAGAGGTGATTCAGATTGGGCAGTGTTTTAGCTGGGCTTCTAGATAGACAAGCCAGCTGAAACATTGCTCAGGAATCTCATGGTGGTGATAACGGAAGGGCAAGGGAAGGCTGGACCTCAAGCACATTTTGAAGTAAATTGAAACTGTCATTAGTACCCTGTCTATTGTGACAGGATCTCAGTTCAAACCAGATTAAACAACAGAATCCATTAGCACTTCATAGTCATTGCTAGTGTTCATTGAGCATTTACTATGCTAATCCTCATATAACCCTGTGAACTAGAAATTAATATTATCTCCTATGTTATAGATGAGGTGAGAGAGGCATAGAAAAGTTAAGTAGCTTGTACAAGTTCACATACCCAGACAGTGGGTGAGACAGGATTTTGAAATCTGAACCATCTGAAAGTTCAGGGATGGGGACTCAAGCACTGTTGTCAAAACTCTGCCTTCCATATTGACTCCTTTGACACCTGTGGTTTAATTTCATTCTCTTTCTACTTTAGTAGGCTTTTTGCATACAGCCATACTGCTGGTAGTTGCAAAGTCACATACTCTTAGATTAACAACCCCAGTAGAAACAGAATTTATTATATATAATGAGTTCTAAGAAAGGAACCCTGATTGGCCCCGCTCGCCCACTCAAACCTACCCCTTTGGCCAATAACATTTGATAGAGGGATAAGATACAAGGGACTGACCTGCCCAGGTCACCTCTGAGTGCAGGCGGGGTAGGACACAGTGCTTCACATCCTCCCTCAAATACGAGAGAGGTAGTTCCCCAAAGGAAAGGATGATGGCCGTATGGGAATGACAGAAGTTCACCATAGACACAAGAGACCTTTTGAAGGACATCCATAAAACCATGTGACAAAATAAAAGGTAAATGAGAAGGAATAGTCCGAAGCCATCCCCGTATGTGGGCTGAGTGACGGAGAGAATAATGTGCTAATGGAGAGGGAAACTGCAGGAGCAGGGGACTGGCTTTGGGAGCCTGGTGCGAGCCCAGTGAACGGCAGGTGGTTAGAGGGAGTGTGCGGTAAGCAGGTGAGGGTTTGGTTCTGGAACTCAGGTGGAGGCTCAGGACTGTAGACACAAAAAGTAAGGTCCAAGATGGATTTTTGCCTCAATTTTGCTATGTATAGATGATCATAATTCGGTCTCTGTTGTTTGGAGTAAGTTGAAAATTTAGCTATCAGGCACTTAGTAAGCCCAAAAGACCCAATCTACATGCTTTTCAAAGCCTAGCCTGGGAAGCTGAAACAGCCTTCGGGGAAAATCTTCTGATGGGAGGCAAACTTCATATAATCAAACACTTCTTAAAAAACAAAACTACAGAAGTAAGTTGAAATAGTTACTCAGCTTGTCACTTTATTTTAGTGTCTTTTTGGTGAGTATTAAATGAAGTTTCAAAGTTTCAAACCATAATGGTTTTGAATTTGATAAATACCTCCCAGAAAAGGCATACCATGTAATTACTTAGAGAAAATGGACAGAATAACATTCCTATCTACCACTGACATTCACGTACATTATTATGTATTTTCCGTTAGATTCGCGATTCCTTTATAACAGCTTCATATATGGGTAGTAGTTTTCTTTTATTTGGATCCTGGTCTTAAAAATTCAAAATCATAAATTTGATTTCTTTTGAGCCAGGTTCACAGTGCAACTAATCTTTTTTGGCTATAAACTTCATTCTAGTTAATTATATCAGTAATGATTGCCATTAGCTATAGGTGGATGGTCGTTACAAATTATAAACAGTGTACACAGACATTACTTCAGTCATGAAATGAAAATGTATAGCATCTACTTAGGGCAAGTCACTGTGCTAGGCATGGATTATTAAAGCAAAGCAAAATAAGACTAAAATGTGATTCCAATTTTCAAAGAAAAACAATTTGCACAATATATATTCAGTATAGAAGCTTTGCTTAGAGATATAGAGATACAGGTGCACAAATGATGAATTATTTGAGGGGGAACTGAGATGAAGTGAAGTTTGTCTTAAAGCAATAGAATGATCTGGAAGGACTTTACTGGCGGTTACTGCCTACAAAGGGAGAGAAAGGCAAGTAACTTAAGGAAGGAAGGAAAGAGGGGTATTGAGCGCCGGGGCTGGAAAAGTTGGTTGGGGAATTACCTTGAACCCTTGAGAGAGAAGAAACAATTCTAAGTGTATGTCTTAATAATGAATTATAGCCCTGGCCGGTTTGGCTCAGCGGTTGGAGCGTCGGCCTGCGGTCCTGAGAGACCCAGGTTCGGTTCCCGCTAAGGGCATGTACCTCGGTTGCAGTTTGTCCCCGGCCCTGGTCCGTCGTGCGGGTGGCAGCCACTCGATGTGTTCCTTTCACATCGATGTTTCTCTCTTTCTCTGTTCCTCTCTCTCCCTCCCACTCTACCTGAACAAAAAATGGAAAAATGTTCTCGGGTGAGGATTAAAAAAAAAAAAAATGAATTATAAAGAACTGTGAAAAACTTATATAAAACAATTTGATAAGTACCACTATTTATGATAAAACTTTAATTGGAAGTTCCATAACAGTGTTATGTTTTATATTGAGATTATATAAGACAATCTATATAGCTTATCATCTTATAATGACTGCTAATTGGAAAGTCAAAGTTACCACTTTTGCACTCAAATTTCCTTAAGTTCCCATCACAGAAAATCCAAGCACCCTTTGTGTTCTGGAGGCACAATTAAAAAATAAATTATAGAAATGTTGATTGGAGTCCTGGCTGGTATGGTTGTGGTTAGAGTGTTGACCCATGCACCAAAGGGTCTCAGGTTCGATTCCCAATCAAGGGCACATACCTGGGTTGCAGGTTCAATCCTGGCCCTGCTGGGGTCCTGCAGGAGGCAACCAATTGATATTTCTCTTACATCAATATTTCTCTCTCTCTCTCTCTCTCTCTCTCTCTCTCCCTCCTTCCCTCCCTTCCACTCTCTTAAAAAAAAAAAGAATCAAAGACAAAACTATTCTTGAGTATTAACAAAAAAAGAAAGAAAGAAAAAGAAATGTTGATTTATGTTAATTGAACACTGACATCTCAGATTTTTCTGCTGTCTGAACTGCTTCCTATGGTTTCAGACAATAAGGAGAAACAAGCCTGCGGACTGATAGAAAAAATGCAAACACCTGTGACAGCCAAGGAGGAAGGAAGGAGCCTTCTTTTCCGTGTGGCATGCGGTACTGGACTCCTTAATTTATAGCCTCGTATATCTAGAAAAAGTCCAAAGAAAGGCATATACTGTAGTTATTTATGACAAAAAAATCTTGGAGTTTCCTCTTCCTTAGCAAAAGATATAAATTACACTTCAAAGAAAACTTGCTCCTCAAAAGATTTTGATGATGAGAAATCAGAAACAACCATATTTTTCTGGAAGATGATTCTATATGAAAAATTTTTGTTTAGCTGCCTCAACAAAAGATTTCATTAAAAATATATTTTTCCCCTGTAGTTCTTTTTCTAGTAAGAACAGTTTTTGGTTATAAAGAATGGACTCAGCTGGGTAATGGGGGTTAACTATTAGGATGTACACACGGCAATTAGGAAGATAAGGTAACTAACTCCCTGTAATCCAAGTCAGAGAAATATGCTATGGTGGGGTTTCTGGAGATGCTGAACACCTAACCAGAGAGCGTCATAATGGCTTTGGCAATGCAAACGCTTTCCCAACATCTAAATGTCCCAGAGATTCTGCCTGAGTAGAACTGGGGGCCCAAGCATTTCCCTGAGGGAGCATTTCCCAGGCTGATTCCTCTGGACAGCCCTGGAAAGAACCATTCCTGGGGCATTACAGCTTCCCTGTCATAACACCTCTCAGCTGTTTTCGTGGCTCCAACTTTATCTATTGGCTTCTCCTCTTGCTTCTGATTAGGTTCTTCATCCTTTATCTTTTCTCTAATTCATAGCTTCTATTGAAGCTTTAGTTTGCTCCCTCGTTACTTTATTACTATCACTTGCTTCTAGCTGTCTCATATGCTGTATGTCTGAATTAAAATGCTTAATATAAAGAGTCTGAATAGCTCAGTCTGTGCCAGCCTGCTCCTTTGGCCACTGGCCAGCTTAAGGACCGACTGGGTCAGCTACCCTTTCCTGGTCAATCAGTTATGGCTGAAAATGGGGGAGGGGAAGGGGTGCAGCCTGCAGCTCCTGCCCAGGGTCTGTGAGCCCAGCCATCCAGCCGCGCCTGTGGGCCTGGCAGGCTGCAGGACTACATTCTAACGAGATTTCCTCGGAGATTGTCTGTGATTTGTAGTGGACCATGAAGACAGTAACTTCCAATTTGGAGAATATGCATAAAAAGTATTCCCTCCATATGTTGTACTTTTACTATCCATGATTAAGAAAACACATAATACAAAATATATACTACAAAAATAGAAAATATGAAAAACTACTATACTTCAGCAAAGATTTCAAATGAGTTTGCCTTT